CCCACATCGGGCTCCCTGCTCAGTGGGGATCCTGCTTCTCCCTCTCCCACTCCCCCTGCTTGTGTTCTCTCTCTTGCTGTGTCTCTGTCAAATAAATAAAATCTTCAAAAAAAAAAAAAAAAGAGGGAGGAATGTGAATTCATATAACACTTAGGAACACTTATTGTGTGCAGAGCTTTGAGCTGGGTTCCAGGGGTACTGCAATTAATAACTTAATTCATAATGCCTGTTCCTCCTTGCATTTAGCCTAGCATGCAGGGGCAAGAAGGCTATATCTAGTTGGTGTAACTGCAAGTTATTAGTCAAAATTTACTTTCCTGAATTAACATTTGAATTTAAACTATGATTTTGTATGCACTATAGATAATATCAACATACAAAAAGCATACATCATGTGTATCTTTGAAGGAGAAATTATAAATGGGAAAAATTACACGTTATTTATTTTTGTCTTTTTAAGCCTAATGGTGGTATTCCACAAGATAATCTTGTTCTAATCAGAATGAAACCTGATGAAAATGGAAGGTTTGGATTCAATGTAAAGGTAATCTAGAATTTACATTTTACTCAGTTTTTAAATTAAGATGTATCTATTTTGGTAATATTTGACTGATATCTGACTTGCTCTGTTGTTCAGGGAGGGTATGATCAGAAGATGCCTGTGATTGTGTCCCGAGTAGCACCAGGAACACCTGTGAGTTATCTAAATCTTGCAAGTAAATCCTGTTTTCAAGAAAATATACTCATTTTATTTTTATTAGTTTAAATAAAGGAATGAATTAATCATCTTTTAATTTGTACGTATCAAATATTGGCTAAATCTCTTAAATTGCTGGGAAGTTAGTTTTTATTTCCAGTCTATAAGAGTTTTTTTTAATCCTTGTTTTTGTAAAGAAGCTGTATATAACTTTCAATGTCTCTAAAGTGTTAAAAGATTCTATCAGAATAACTCCTTTAAACAGCAGAATGTAGACAGTATAGTATTTGTTTTTCTTTTTTGTTTGCTTTATCTTTTCATTTAGAATTGTTTACCTAGAGTCTGTTTGCCTACTTTGTGTTTAAAAAATTTACTTTAAATAGAAATGATACTAGTGTGTTCCCTACTGGGACAGTTTTTAAACTTTTTATTGAAACATATTAAATAAAAGTATTATAATATATTACACATTTTAAACAAAAGTAGAGAAAACACTCTATGTACCCATTATAATGAACCCTCCTCTACCCTTCATTCACCTTCAGCACTCATGAACTTTCTGCTCATCATAAGGGTAATTCTTAATTGTGGATGTGTTATCTTTATTGCTCTTATATGTAGCAAATATTGCTTTCAAATTCCCATCTGTGTTGTTGCCTACTTTACCTAAATGGTCTTCAAGGACTTTTCAATCAGCACCCTTTATCATTTACCTGTCTCTCTGTCCTAGGACAGGTATAAACCAGCAGCCTGAGAGAAAAAGGCCAGTTATGCTTTTTTTGGTGCTTTGCAGCAACCTTGAAGTTAGTTTGAAGATCATAGTCAAGACTGATCAGGGATATCATGATACATAGTTTTGGTTCTAGTTGTTAAGGACTTTGTTGGTTGCAAATAACAGGGTACTCTGAAATACCTCTGGCTTAAGCATAAATACAAAATCATACACATAATCATATAGCTATAGAGGTTTCTCACAAAATCCAAGGATAAGAATGCAATTAGACCTCTAGAAAAAAAACTTTAAAAATGAAAACTTTAAAAATGAATATCCTTAAAAAAAAAGGACTCTCTAGTTTTCATCTCTGTTTCTTTTTATGTTACATTTTTCTCTCTCAATGTAAGCCAATTTGTATAGGGAATCAGCCTCATCTTTCTAACTCCTCTAAATAAAATGCAATCTAAATAAAAAGAGTGTACTTAGTAACAGCTTCAAGTTAGTCCTGTACCATCACCACCACACACTCTACTTTCAAATATGATTGTGACCCCTGCATATCTACTAAAGAAAAATTGTATAGCTACCACTGTTCTTCTCAGTTGATATGATGGGCTAGTGGTAACTTTCATATTCATATATTACCAGCTCAGCCACCCAGAGGGATTAAACCTCAATCCAATTTACAAACACCTGGGAAGTAAGTCCTTCATAGATCTAGCTTGTATCAGATGTCTGCTTTTCAACAAATCATTTTTGGGCGAGGGGGGACAGGACAGGAATATGATGGATAAAATGCATCCTGAACCTATTCTGCATGTGAAGGATGAGGACAAAGATCAGGGAAATAGTCAAATTACTTATTAGTACATAAGTATGGGAAATATGTGTTTGGGACAGACTGCAGATGAGAAGATGAAAGATTGCTAAATTCTCACCTGTAGATAATGTCTGAAATAGAAAGCTAAAAGGGTATCTGGGTGGCTGAGATAGTTAAGCATCTGCCTTCAGCTTGGGTCATGATCTCCAGGTCCTGGGATTGATCCCCGAGGCTGGGCTCCCAGCTGAGCGGGGAGTCGTCTTCTCCCGCTCCCCCTGCTTGTGCTCTTTCTGTCTCTCTCTCTCTCAAATGAATAAGTAAAATCTTAAAAAAAATAAGAATAAAATAAAATAGAAAACTAAAGAAAAACAAAATGAGGATGTTATTTAGAGATACTGAAGTAGATACAAAAGATGTAGGTAAAATGTTGAAGTTGCCTGGGGTGGGGGAATGGTAGAGAGGAACACAAGAAATTGTTTCTTGTCTTAGTAATCTTACAGACCTAGTCAATTCTTTGACCTGTGTGATATATAACTTTACTAAAAACAAATTTAAAGTATAATTTTAAAAAATCAAATACATATCTTTTTATCCATTGATTCCACTTTTAGCAGTTGCCTCTAATGAAGCAGTTGGACTAGGAAACAAAGGATACACAAGGATCTTCATTGTAATATTGTTTATAATAAAGATGGGGGTGACAAAAAATGTACATCATTAGAGTTGGTGAAATAAATTATATGCTGCTTTGCAGCTGTTGAAATGATGAATGATGTAGCTCCATATAAGTATGGAAATAAGATGGTGTTACAGAAAATGCAACAAGAGGAAATCAGAGAGGGAGACAAACCATAAGAGACTCTTAATCATATGAAACAAATTGAGGGTTGCTGGAGGGAAGGGGGGTGGCGGGATGAGGTAACTGATTGATGGACATTAAGGAGGGCATGTGATGTAATGAACACTGGGTATTATATAAGACTGATGAATCACTGACTTCTACCCCTGAAACTAATACATTATGTATTAATTGAATTTACATTTAAAATAAATAACAAAAAGAAAATGCATATTATTGCTCTACATGTATGTTTGATCCTGTTTTTAAATTTTTTTAATTTTGGGGGCACCTGGGTGGCTCAGTCGTTAAGCGTCTGCCTTCAGCTCAGGTCATGGTCCCAGGGTCCTGGGATCGAGCCCTGCATCGGGCTCCCTCCTCGGCGGGAGGCCTGCTTCTCCTTCTCCCACTTCCCTGCTTGTGTTCCCTCTTGCTGTGTCTCTCTCCGTCAAATAAATAAATAAAATCTTTAATTTTTTTTAGAAGGGGGAGAGAGAGAGATGGGGAAGGGCAGAGGGAGCGAATCTTAAGCAGGCTCAACACCCAATGCAGAGCCTGACACGGGGCTAATCTCACAACCCTGAGATCATGACCTGAGCCAAAATCAAGAGTTGGGCGTTTGATCAACTGAGCCACTCAGACACCCCGATCCAGTTTTTTAAAATGTGAGTTAGGGCATTAAAAAGTCCGGAAACATGCTCAAATGTTCGTAGCATTTCATCTGGGTAGTAGAATTATTGGTGTTTATCACTTTCTTCTATATTCCTCTTTTTAATTGTCTGAATCATGACAATGAGAATGTACTGCTCTTGTAATTAGAAAAAATAATGAATCTTTTTTTATGTATGTGCCAGTTGCAATAGTCAGTGAATGACACAAAAGAAATACTAATTTTTCTGAGCAGTGACTGTGTATCATTTTCAGTTAAGTCAGAGATGTTCAGGGAACTTTGTATAGACAGGTTCATTTCCAAACAGAATGCTGTGACTCTAAATTTCCTTTTTAGGCTATACAAATTATTGGTAATTTTTCCTTTCTGTCATGTAGAACTATTTCCCATAAATATTGGCTAATGGGTGCCTCACTGGCTCAATTGGTAGAGCATGTGACTCTTGATCTCGGAGTCATGAGTTCAAGCCCCACATTGGGTGGAGAGCCTACCTAAAAAAAGGGAGAGGCTAGAAAACAGACCCATATTTAAAAGATAAGAGAAGACACAGAAGTTTCCAAAAGGCAGAGAATGAAAGACAAGAAAGGCGGATGAAAAAAAAAAAAGAACAGTGAAACAGAATAACAGTTAAGGGAGGAAGAATGAGGCTTCTAGAAGGAAAAAATAAAAATTCTTTAAAAAGAAAAGTATATTGGGCGCCTGGATGGCTCAGTTGGTTAAGCGACTGCCTTCGGCTCAGGTCATGATCCTGGAGTCCCGGGATCGAGTTCCGCATCGGGCTCTCTGCTCAGCAGGGAGTCTCCTTCTCCCTCTGACCCTCACCCCTCTCATGCTCTCTCTCTCATTCTCTCTCTCAAATAAATAAATAAAATCTTAAAAAAAAAAAAAAAAGAGGGAGGAATGTGAATTCATATAACACTTAGGAACACTTATTGTGTGCAGAGCTTTGAGCTG